AAAGGCAATTTTCTTTCTCTTTCCTTTCATGTTTGTATGTAAATGTCTGGCTCTCTCTCTCTCTCTCTCTCTCTCTCTCTCTCTCTCTCTCTCTCTCTCTCTCTCTCACACACACACACACACGTTGCATATACATACCTACCTAGAACGTACACGATCTCTGGGAGCCTTCAACCAGCTCCTCGATCCTCGCAATGATTTAACCTGTTTCTCATTCATCTAATCCATTTAACCTGTTCCCAATCCTGCTCCCAATTCATCCAGTTGATTCAGCCTGTTTCCCATTCATCTAATTCTTTACTCATCCATTTACAGGTCAGTATTGTAGGTCCTCTTGCTTGCTTCGCTTCCCATTGACGAAACCAGGGCGTCCAGGCTAGGCAGGTCCTTCCTGTGTGTAGATAAATTCATGTTTATAATTTTCTTTTTTTCTTTATTTTTCAATTGTATATGTTTTTACTGTATGTGGTCGGGTTTGCTCAGAAAAACAATTCGTTGATGTATGTTTATGTTATTGGATGAGTACCGTATCTTATTAATAAAATTATTTTTATTTATTTGTGCATTTTATCTGTCCTTCTGTGCCGTTTTACTTCAAGAAGTATCGGTTACCTATTGATTATTGAAGAACATGACGAGAATAATAATAAGAAAACTGCAGAAATCGCCAAATTCCGCTTATTTTTGTGCATTCTTCTTTCATCCAATTTTATCCCCCCTCCCCTCACTTACTATAAGGTTCTGTATGCGCATCACTTTTACAAAATCTCTAATATAAACAACAGCCATTTTTTTTGACTTCGCATACAAAAAGAAATTCATGCCATATTTTCTTTTCTACAAGCAAAACACACACCGAATACACACAAGACTCAAGGCCAGAAAAGAAAACACAGTGAAGCCAACACGAACACAACCCGCGGATTCTGAGGCCTCGAGATATTAGCAAAACATTCAAGTACACTCCGAGTGCGAGGTGTGCGAGGGCATAATGAGCCGGGGTACAGGCTCCCTCTCTCTCTCTCTCTGTCTTTGGTTCTGATACTGGTTCTGGCCCTGTCTCTGTCTTTCTCTCTTTCTGTTTGCCTGTCTCTGTTTTTGTCTCTGTTTGTCTATCTCAGTCATTGTCTCTGTTTGTCTGTCTGTCTCTGTCTTTGTTTCTAGGTTTCTGTGTCTGTTTCTGTCTATTTTTGCCATTGTTTCTCTGTCTTTACCTTTGCCTTTGTCTCTGTCTGTCTGTCTGTCTGTCTGTCTCTGTCTCTCCCTCTCCCTCTTCTATCTGTCTATCTCTGTCTCTCCTCTCTCTTAACTCTCTCTCTCTCTCTTTTACCCTTTGCTGCTGCCACTCTCGGGATGACATTAGCACAGCCATGTTCTCTTTTGGGTTCCGGATATAATGTCTGGGTTCTGGAGCGTGTGTTTGGCTCGTGATTCAGGATTGTGTGAAAGAGTTCTGTAGTTAGCATTCCGGTTCCGCTGTTAGGATCTTTGGTTCTGTTTCGAGTTCAGGGTTCTGAATCCTTTACTAGGGTTCTGAGTTGTGTGCAAAAGCTCCGAATTTTTGCATACCATTCTGGATTTTGTGCGCATAATTCCGTGTTCTGGTTCTGGTGTTAGTGTCCTCATTTCCTTGTTAGGGGTCTTGGTGCATTCTATATGGGGTACGTGAGTGTGTAACTATTATGTACGATAGTGTTTGGTGTGGATGTGTAGGTTTGTATAGTTATGCTGGAGATACATGTGTTGTGTATATGTTTTTAAGTTAAGGTATCTTGATATAAGGTATATATACAGTGTTTTTTATTAATCTACATGCTGTTAATTAGTTAATACGTAGGTTCACAATTATCGCCAATGATATTCTAATATACATAATAGAAAATAATATATACCTGTGTATTTAAACTTTCACATTAACATACATTTATATAGATCTTTATTAATATCTTATTATTATTTTACTAATATTACAGGAAGCACTATTATCATGAGATTCATGAACAAACGACCAATACGTTATCTAATCTACATAAAAAAAACTGGTCACTGTTGTATGCTTGGGAGCATGTGATCACATCACATAATAGTCAGCACACACACACACACACACACACACACACACACACACACACACACACACACACACACACAAACACACACACACACACACACACAAGCGCGCGCGCGCGCTCGCTCGCTCGCTCGCTCAAGATCATACAATGCAAAATGCAATAAATATAATATTTCAACCAGACGCTACCAAGAGCCAAACATCTATCCTTATTTACCTTACGTGCAAAAAACAAACAAACTAGTAGCTGATTCTATATCGAAATTTAATCTTATAAGAATACGGTGATAAAAAACGTTGAAACTGTGCCAGGGATAAATTTCTTGAGAGCAAAGATATGCGTAAAAGAATGGATATAGACAGCAAATACAAAAATGCTACAACTAAAGAAAACTAAGAGCATGTGCTACAAATATTACTTAGGATGAC